AGTCTCCTCAACCAAAGAAATGAGAAAGGGAAATCTGGCAGATGTTGGCTACATGTCTTTATATAGGAGACGCAGAAGAGCAGCTGTTACAGTAGGGATTGTAGGGATTTCTTGTGAAAGTCGGTAGCAGATGTCACCATCTGCTTCTGCCTTCTCTATGAAATAGAGGCAAAAGGGAGACTGAAAGCTGGTTAAAAAAAGGTAACAACAAACCCCATAAATTCAAAAGATATTCAAACATATTTACAGCAAGTAGGGCAACTCTCACACCCTTCCCCCTGTGAAATTGGTGATCCAAAGGCACAATAAAAGCAAAGAACGCTCCCCATTCTCTTTAAATCGTGATTTCTTTTCATTGCAATCTTACTACATGTACTTTGACAACATTCAGCCTGCAATCTAACACCTAGCCTTTTCCTGCCCGGCTGAAAGAGATCACAGAAATGAGCAGTTGTATCCTTTCCCTCTGGCTATACAGCAATGGTCTGATGACAACTGCTTTACCAGAGTTGGTATCAGACAAATAAAAATTCTCTACTGAATGATCTACTTAATGACGTCATGTGTGGAGGCAAAGTATTTATTACTTAGGGAAAAAAAAACAACAAAAAACAAACAAAACTTCTGTTGCATTGTGTTAGGAAACATGCTGTACATGTTTGTACATCTTGGCAGATAAAGATCAGATGAGGCAAGCAATGAAGTGGTTAACCAAATCAGAAAGTTATCTCAGCTATCCAAAGGCACATCTTGTAAACCTGAGAAAACTTCTTACACAGAACTGAGGAGAAAAAAAGTCTTGTCTGGGAAGGGCTTGTCTGGGAAGAAACAAATCACACTGTCAACAAGTAGTTTGCTCTCTCACTCAGAAAAGAAGGTATTAGTGAGATCCAGAGCCCAACAAAAGAACAGGAGTCTTTCCAATGGTGTAAAAAAGGCTTGGACTGAGCCCCAGCTTTCCTGAAAACTAGACTTGCTAATTGCCTCACTCTTCCACCATCAAAACTGTCACCTCACGGAACAGAAATACCTTTCCAATATTGCTACAGGGCAGACATTTCCACACTGGTAATACTGGGAGCCATGTTCAACCACCACCAGCAACTTGGTGGCCACCACCTCCTCCATCTGATATCCCATAATGTTGTCTTGAAAAATTAAAAATAAATAAATAAATGCAGCATTCTGGGAAAGTTTTTTAGGTTTTCTTTTGTTTATTCGTTTTTGGAAACAGAACCACCTTGCAGCTTGCTACCACTGTAGAGAGCATTTTGCTTTTCTTTTAGTGTCATATTTAGAAAATAAATAAACTTCAGAAATGGAAGATCTCATTCTCCTGTGGCATTGCCATAAATCAGGAAACACTCGAGATATACCTGGATAAAATTGATGAAAGTAACTGAAGAAATCAGCTTTAGCAAGGTATACTGCTAATACAGGTCTTTTCCCCAAAGCAAGCAAATTATGCTTATCTTACATTACCAGATCATTACTGGAAGCACTATGCCAGACCCTCAGCTGGCATAAATCAACATGACCCTATTCACTTCAGTGCAGCTGTGTTGATTTATGTGAGCTGAAAAGCATGTACTGATCAAAAAGTGACTTCCATCTTATAAAAGCGACTAAGAAATGAAAGGTAGTACGTATAATATAAAGAAAAATTAGAAAGGAAAATAGTACAGAAAGGCTCAATGTAGCTGTATATTTTATTAAGATTAGTCTAACATAGCCACTCATTTTACTCCATATGAGATTTTAGATAATATTCTCTGTTGTTACATACACATGTATCTCTTGAGTATAGACCCAAGTATTTGTGCAATTTAATAATGCTGCACTATTCCCATACTAAGATGTAAGGCTCAGACAGGGGTTCAACCAACCCGGAATTTATCACTGGTGTTTTTTGTAAAGTCACTGTGGCTGTCAGCATATGAAACATCAGACTTAACAGCAAGCCCACACAGCAAACTTGTGCTCAGATTTGCAGTATGGTGTCATATCTTAAGAACTACGCCTGTTATGGTCTTCCTCTTATAGAGCAAGATAAAAGTAGAAAATCAAACGAGCTTCTCAAAGCCTGCACTTCTCTTGAGCCTTGGTAACTCTGAGAAATAGGAAACCTCTCATATTAGACTTAAGCACTCTTTATCCTTACGAACTCTGTGTAGACTTTCCTATTATTGTACAGGCTACATGAGATTAACTGCTGGTGCTCCTTTCCAAGTTAAAACAGGGAAGGTTAAGGAGAAGAATTGGTATTCTGAAATAAGAGGTATATATTCCTAAATTCCTTTCTCAGGGAAGCAGCTCTTGAGATTAGACAGTTCTCATTTTCACTAGGCTCATGTATTGCTGCCCCAGCAGTGTAATATCTGAATGCTGTATGAAGAGAGATCATGAAGCAAACTCTTTACAGTTGTCTGTTCAATTCAGCCTCAGTGACCAGCTGCTAACAGCCACTTGGCAGACAACCGCAATTCATCATCCTTCACTCTGAGTATTGATACTTCAAATACAAATACTTCTGTGTTTGACCACAGTCCACAACACAGGCTGCCAGGTACAAAAATGCATTCTTACTATTCATCCTTACCATTGCCTTAGTGTAACATACCTCATGAGTCCCTGCCTACAAGAAATACTAGGATTTGTCTCTTCACAGTCTTTCCCTATAAATACATTCACTGTAGGAAGCTTATAGAAATTTTCAGAACTATGATTAATACTTCAGATACAGGCAAAAAATATGCACTGTCTGCCAGGACAGGTCACCTTGCATCTCAGCAAATGGCACTACCACAACCTTCTGCTCTCCACTGATCACCGGGCATGTTTTATGTGGCAAGATGCACTTAGTATCACCCTCAATGGGATGCTGTATTTGATCAATTCAGTGTAACACTAAACCAACTGGAACAATGGTAGGTAATATTGGAATAAAATATGTATTGGTTTATTTAGGTATTCCCAATCTCTGAAATCAGTAGAATAAAAAAAAAACCCAAAGACCAAACCATAAGGCATTTTAAAACTTCCGTGTATACTACTGTCTCTGCATAGGAATTAGAAATCCCAGTTAAATCCTCTTTTCCTCCCAAAGCACCCTTGCAGTCTTCAAAAACACAGGAAAGTGATGAATGCCTACTAAGAAAACCTCAAAACGAATTTTCTTCCATTTTCTTCTCTGTATAAATTTTCAGACTTTCTCCCATGAAAACACTAAGCAAATGGCCCTGGGCTGTGGTTGCAGTTGTTTTCATGCCATGTACTCCCACTAAGCAAACGGAGCCAACCAAAACCATTTCTAAGATAAGATTCCTGTTTGTGGCATAAGGGGCTTAAAACTGCACCCAGCATATATACACAACCAAAACTACAGCCTGAGACTTCAAAGCACAGACTTGGGTTCTCCACAGGGACATTAAATGTGTTGAAAAGAGACTTCGGATTGGAAGCTCCATTGCAGCACTGTCAAAGCAGGAACACGTCAAAGGGATCAAAATAGCAACAAGCACTGAAGTTTTCCTCCTTCAAAATGGTACAAGTCGATAGAGAAGCAGCATGAATGGTAAATGTGTCCCTGTAATTTCCATCTCATCTTTTAGTTCCTTAGTGTTACTAGAAATCATGCCAAGCTAATATTTGTCATTGCATATTCCCTCATTCTTTATGTTGGTGGGAATGTTTTTAGTTCATAATGATAACTTGTAGCAATTTGGACATCAGTTTACAATGCACCAAGAATATATTGCAGTGAACTGTTTAAAAGAAAGCAAAGTATTAGGGCTTCTAAATGAAACAGTCCAGTGAATTCAATTCTCTTTTAATTTTGAACTTGTACTGTCATCTGCTTCAGTGAAGTGATGCACCAACTTCTACCACCAAGTATTTGATACACCACTTATTGTAAATGCTGCTTACCCAGTGTACTACGAGGTTCCACAGTTGTGACTCCCAAAGACTGAAATCAATATTTAAATCCTATTGACACCAACTCATTTTTTCTCTTCTTTTTTTTTTTTTAAGCAGACTTGCAATTATGGTCTATTTTATATTTGTAAGTATGATTAAAATTATTATATTTTGTGCCAGGCTATAATTTATGTAATTGCATTCCTGTAAAACTTGAATTTATTTTTCATTTAGAAACAAACCACAATAAAAGGCTTCTGCACTGAGAATCCAGTTTTCTGTGTTAATTTAAAGTTTAATTTTAGAGTGATTTCTACAGTCACTGTACTTTAAAGGCAGAGGAAAACTGTCATTGTATAAGAGACTTTTAATCAACCGTGGACTTTTACTCAAACTAAATACCAGTATTTATTGTTCATAAAGTACTACAAGAGGAAAAGGGATGATTAAGTAGAATTTAAGCTGCATTGCCATTAAGGATTAAACAGAAAGGCATTTTAAAGCCATGTGTTAAAAGCCATCTTACCAGAAGGTATGGACCATAATCTACAAATTTTTCAAAATATACCAGGCTGTAATCATTAGTCTTATGAATTTAGAGGGTCTATTATTTCTGTCTCTTAACTTGACATTTACACTCAAATAAAAATCTTGAGTACAAGTCACACCTGAAATTGCATCTGTTATGCAGTTGCCCACCTGAATGTTTACAAAACCAGCCTTTTAATGTGTCATTTTAACATTTTGGCCTTAACTTATTATCAAGAGGGAAATAAAACTCAGGGATGTTACGACTTTAATGCAGTCTCTCGAGAGCCCTGATACACAAAATCAGATACACAAGCCTCCCTTCAGCGTCAGAGGGCTACAAAATGGAATATGACGCTTGAAAGGGAAAGCTGCTGTTCTGCAGGCTCTGAGACTGCCAGGAGGGCTGCATTAAGCGCCGTGAGCAGGCTGCGAGTCATGACGCCCTCCCTACAGAATTTTGGCAAGTTTAAATGAAACCTGTGGATGCATTGTTTCATTTTTCCGGTCAGATGTACGCAAAGTTGGGAACAATTTCACATAGATTTTCTAACCTCTCCTGGGGCTTTCGTGATTGAAGAGGATGCCATTCACAGCAAAGAGATTGTAGGCCTCTCTGAAGTTCACCACAATCCAGTAGGCATACAGTTTTGCTGCCCCTACAAAAATAATTTTAAAGCATTACGTATATCCGCTCTGCTTGTACACAGCTCAGACAGACACACATATGCACATCTCTCTCATGCGCAGGGTAAAGTCCATGTTTCAACAGTGGAGTGCATTAGAATTTGATTCATTCCCTGTATGTGTCACATTTCATATGGAAAAAATATCCAGCCCAATAAACAGCAGCTGAACTGGAAAATACTCCTTTTCTGTGCACTCTCTGAACTGGCCAGGAAGCATTAGGGTACCTTCTCACTTGTTTTCTTACGCACACTCAAGCGTAGCACTTTTTCTTTTACAATATAATTAACACAGCCAGACCGTGTGAAATACACCACTGTGGTGACCTCTGCTATTAGGAAAAAAAAAAAAAAAAAAGGACTTTGGAGGAGTAAAAGCGAAAATCTGGTGCCTTAACACTCAAATTGATTTGAAACTTTATCACCAAAGTCCTCCATGCACATTGCTTTAATAAGTGTTTCAAATTTCATGTGAGTTCATGATGGCAGAAGTGAGCTCTTGGGAGTTTTTCATTTAGGCAACAAAGAATATGAAACCTTATCACTTCAGCGGTATCTCACAACCCTTTGTGAAGGAAGAGCCACCCTTCCCCCTGCCTCCACAAGAGCTCTCTACCTCTGAGCTGAATGAACACGGTCTTATGAAGTGAGATGCTAATTTCCAACCCCCGGGCAATGGCAGCAAATACTTTCTATATAGTAATTCATAAAGGTATGCCTCTCGACATGTCTAGTCACTTTAGCTCTATCGTCATTCTAATCTCACACCCAAATGACTTCAGCCCTGAGACATGAGCGGGGAGAACAGACAGACAGACACTACATACACACCATCAGCGATCCTCACCATAAGGAGATCTTGGGTAAAAAGGGGTGGTCTCCTTTTGCGGGATTTCTTGCACTTTTCCAAAAAGTTCACTGGTGGAGGCTTGGTAGAACTTCACAGAGTTGATAAGGCCACAGGTCTTAATAGCATCTAAGAGCCGTAAAGTGCCAACCCCATCAACGTCAGCAGTATATTCTGCTAGGTCGAAAGAAATCTTGGGGAGAGAAAGAAAGAAAAAAACCACCGATTTTACTAGGGGAACCAGAACATGCTGTGATCGTGTACAAACAAAGGAATACATCACTTGTCATAGACCATCTAGACACTTTTGTACAGAGTAGATGCTCAGTTTACAAAAGTACCCTCAAAGGATTTCTAAGAATAAACAAGTAGTTCCATAAATAGCAGAACCAAAAGACTGGTGTTCCCTGATCTCTCTCTCAGGATTATTTTCCCATGTGAAGTAAGGGGTAAGCCTCCCCACAGTGGGAGCATTATCAGGCTCTCTCTCATCTCCACAGCTGCCAATTTTCACAATATTCACTTGGGCTTAATATCTTTGACACACTTGAATTTGGTTAAATTGTCCAAAATACATTTAAAAAAAAAATACTAGGTTAGACAGACAACATGACAACATGAACATGCATTAAAAAAACCCACAAACTTTAAACTAGGTCCAAAGTTTTGCAATTTTAACACACATCAAAATGGAGAGAAGACTAGAAATATCTGCTATCAAATGGCACTCCCAACTCCACCTGACAAAGGTGTACCAGAGCTGTGGCTTTTGCACAGAGGTTAGGGGGATTATGAAGTGGGAGAGCAAAGGGTGGAGGCATCCAAAAGAAACCTGACATCTTCTCCAGCTGACATATCGTTCAAAGTATGATAATAAACTCATGCACACCGCTGGGCCAAGACTCTTCTTTCTCTTCCTGCTCCAGTAGTCCTCAGTTATCTTTATGATGAGCTTGGCTGTGGCATAGGCCACAAGAAAATGCTTGAGTCTAAACTTTCAGAGTGTTTCAAAAACTTATTAATTTTATTCCTTGCAGTTACAGAATAAAACTAAAACCAGGAAAAAGTAAGCTGAAGGTAAGAGATGTGTTGTGACCACCCCAGTCTGGAGGCAGGAGAAAAAACGCTCTGAAGGGAGCTCACCCTGTTTGTTTGGTGCCTACAGGCTAGTTGTTTGGATGTGCTGGCGATGCTCCTGGACTCTGAAGAATTTTCTCCCACTGGTGCCCATCCCAGAGGCACGTTCCTCCTTCCTTCTACATCCTCTCTCCAACCCAGAGATTTTGCTTCTGTATGCCAGTTTTTTAAAAAATGTTCCCTGTTTGTACTGCCAATGTTATAAAAAAGGAAAGGGGAACGGACTTTTAGAGCAATCTCCTCCATCGCCTTGACCCGAGGAAGAATTACTCTATCTGTGTCCCCTCTGGCTGAAGACTGACTTTCAGGAATGAGCTCTAGAGTGATGGCAGTGTTACGGTCTCTTTATACAATCTAGGCTAGAGGTTAGTGAGACACTGCCAAAGGCAGATAGTACAAATCTATGATCCCCCATTCATCAGTCTTCAGTGATAGGGTAACTACTAATGGAGTAGAGGGGAAATGACCATAGCTGGACAAGCTGAGCTACCACAGTGAAATCAGTGGGAAACCTGTCACTTACCAAGTATTTTTTCAGTCTCTCTGCAGATTCAGACAGATAGCCCTGTATTCATTTCTCCTTTTAAACCACTTTCCCTGTTCAGTAATCACTAGAGGTTTAAGGCTTATTTACGCAGCAGATGAAATAAAAATAATTAGATTAATTTGAATTTGCACTTATGGTTAATTTAATACTGGTATGAAATAATCTAAATTGTGTTACATTGTGCTCCAAAATAAAAATGTTCTCACACAGTTTTGATCTGAAATAACTAATGGTATGAACAAAAACAAACTTTACTACTTTTTTTTTTTTTTATCCAAGAGAAAAAAAAAGAAACCTGATACTTTGGCTTGTTAACCTGGTATGACCCAGCTGAAATTGAGCACTGATCTACTGAGAAGTGCTGAGCATTTTTGTTTTAATCCATTTGGCACAAAGATGACAGCCACTTAAGGTCTCTCAGCTTTGCTGTCAGAGTAACTCTTGGGAAAACATTTTAATGAATAGGTGATACAATCAATAATGCACTAATGAACATAAATTAGTATATTTACCACATGGCTAGCACCATCACATATTCACTGTAAGATCCCAGCTCTCTAACTAAAGGCAAAACACTAATTGCAGCAGAACCAGGAATTTACCTACTTTAAGGTGCTGTTTCCAGTAAATAACCTGCTAAAAAATCACCCCAAAATGCAAATCTTTGCTTACATATTCTACTACAAAGTAAACTGCACATGTAACTGAGGTGGTCTTAATTCGGAGATCCCAGATTATAAAACCTCTTAACCAGAGAGAGCAATGAGCCTGTGGCAGCAGCACTGGGAACTGCTCTCCCTGGCTGATGCAGAGACCAGTTACACAAGAGATGCTTTTCCCTATTGCCTTATGAATGACCTCAATCTTCACCTAGAAAAATCACTCCCTGGGGTGTGAGGTAATTGTGCCTCCATGCTGGCCGGGTCTGAGTGTCCCTGAGCAGAAACCGCCAGCTTTGTGCCTGTTTGGTGGTTTTGTAATGCGGACTATTGTTCACCGGGGACAGGACTCAGACCACTAAACTCATTTCATTTTGGGGTGCAGGTTAGACTAGAATGGCATTTGTGAAAATAAAAAATGGTTTTATCCACTAAAACCTCCAAGACCAAAAATGCTGGACTGTTAAGACACTCTGTGCAGAGTAGGGGCAGTACCATGGCAAATACAGATAAATGCACACTGGATTTTAATTTGATTCTAATTCAAAGTTAACAGCGTAAAAGAGTTTTATAAAATACTGGATTGATTAAGTAGTTACAGATGAAGCAGGGCAGAGCAGAGAAAGGTGCTGAGTTATCCAGGTTATTTTGTGCAGGACCAGCAGGCAGTCTTCAGTAAAAAAGAAAATAATGCAGGGACCTCATTAAGAGGGATGTGCAAGAGAGAAATGACATGCATACAGAATACAAAAAAAGACCAGGGTCTAAGTTATAGATTGAGAGATACTGAAAGAGTTGATGTCTCAAACATTGTGGTGGGGCAAGTTCTGCTTAAAGACAAACCCTGCACAGCAAGGAACCCAGGTGAAAAGCCCATCAGCTCAGACATCAGCAACAGCAGGGGGAGGGCGTGCTGGAGGGTGTGCAGCTCCCTGTTCTGATAAGCTCTTCTGATACAAAGATCAAACAATGGCAGTGTCTGCAGGGAAGGAGAAGTTACTCCACAAACGACCCCCAAGCCCAAAGGCTCACAAACTGCTCATTAGCCTGACAAGTTCGGGTGCCCGCCTGAAGGAGGGGCAAGGATGATAAAAGGACACAAACTGAAGCCCCGGGCACACAAGCCCGCCAGAACTGGACCCCTCCGCTGACTGACTGGACCAACGCTGGACCCAGGACTGGTGAAATCTTTCTCTCTCTCTCCCTTCTTCTCTCTTTCCTTTTCCACAATCCCTACACCTTATCTGTTTCAAGATATAAACTGTTGACCAAGTCTGAGACTAAGAGTAGATCCAGCTGCCCCTGGGCCCTTCTCTGAGGAGGAGTCTGGAAAGCAAGGGGGTCTGCTCTGAACCTTGTGACTCAAGGGGAGGGATCTCCTTATTCCCTGAATTGATGTATATGGTTACACGGTTTACAGAAGTAGTCTTATGCCAGTTCCCGTTGTGAGCAACCCTGCCACCTACTACCACACCTCCCCAGTTCCATTTGCTTCTGTCATGAATAAAATCTTTAACTGATCGTTTGGTGTCCTTTCACCTTAATTTAGCCCAAGGGAATTTTGAATTAAACATGACTCCCTGGTCTGTCCAGTCTGGGTCGTGACATAGATAGCAAATACAGAATCAGATTCAATAGGTGTTACTCACAGAAATAATCTTTGCTGGTGCACTGAGCTCAGTGAGACTGAGAGAATAAAAACTTAATGGAAATGGTTGTAAAGGCAGGTGTATGAAGACTAAAAACTAGCCTTACTTTCTGAAAGATTAAACATTTATTCAGTGGAAAAAAGAGCTTAGGTAATACCTACTGAGGAGGGTTTTCAAACAGCCTAATTTATGACAACTACCTCATGTGCCTGAATTAGGAAGCTCGTCTCCCTGTACACTGATAAAGCCAGTGGTGAGTCAGAGCAGAAAGCCTAATGGAGATGCTCTTGATCATGCTTTGGAGAAAACTATATCCACAATAGTTTTCAAATTTAGCTACCTAAGATAGATGCTCCATTCTAACCTCAAAAATCCAGAACTATCAGTTATGGTCAACTGTGTAAAGACAGACATGCAACTAACAACTTTTTTTGAAGACACCACCAGAAGTTTTTTGTAATGACTGGAGTAGGGAAAAGCTTCTTTGCCTGGCAGAAACTTTAAACCTGGAAGTTTTCTCAAAGAGTATTGAAGGCATGGATCCAACACTTCTTCGCCATCTTTGGAAAGACTTAGCGACAAAGGGAAAGCATGACATACCAACAAAACAGAAGTTGTCTACTTGGAACATGTTAGTCTGAGTGACCTTGGCACTCCCTTCCCATATGTAATGGGGATACAATGCTTTTGTAGTTGTCATCGTTGATCTCTGGAGATACTGTGAATGTATACCCTTAAGATGTGTCTATTTATTCCATTTGATAGGTAGCAATAATAGTGTGTCATTCGAAGTGGATAGAACAATAAGACGACACTTAAATCCTTGGTCAAAAGTACTTCAGTTTCAGATTTTTAGGTCCTGAACACCTTGCAGAATTGCCTCAAATAATACTAAAAAGGAATCTGACTCCTTACGTACATGGACTTCTATATACTGAGCATCTTCACTGCTGGATTCATACCTAATATAGAACATTTCAAATACATTCTTGGCAAGTAAAAATTTCCAAAGCAAGTCTTACCCATAAGATGATAAAATTTTCTTGAGAAAAGCAGAGTTTCATTAATTATAACATTCCTGGAATCACAGGACACAACACAAATACACTGAACCACATTGTCTCTTTCACACGGCTCCAAGAATTACAATGAGTTTTGTGAACTGGTTTCTACCTTTTGAATCTGAACTCTTGTTCTTCCT